TATGTTAGTCTTTTTCCACACATCAGCTACAACTCATGTACACAGGGATGCCTGAAAAATCAGTTGAAGTGGAATGCTGAGCTCAGGTGCACATTCTCTCAAAACCCATGGTGAAACTTTGTTCTTACTTTGCTCCTTGAGCATTTTTTCCTCTTCATCTCTAGACACCTCTATGTGCTCTATGTTGTTCCCTGGAATTCTTATTGTGTCTGGTTCCCTAAAGATTTCATTTTGTACAAACACACTTTGGAACTTTTCGTTTAGTGTTTCACACATTTCCTTTTCATTTTCTGTGAATCTATTTCCCATTTTCAACCTCTGAATATTATCCTTTACCTGCAATTTGTTGTTTATGAATTTATAGAATAGACCTGGTTCTGTTTTACATTTGTCTGCAATCCCTTTTTCAAAATTTCTTTCTTCCTCTCTCCTCACTGCCATGTAGTTGTTTCTCGCATCTTTGTATCGCTAGTATGTTTGGGGGTTTGGCCTCTTCCTGCATTGATTCCATTTTTGTGTCTTTTGGTCTCTGGCACTAATATTTCTCCTCCAATAATACTGTTTGTGGTGTTATTACGCTATATACACACATTATATATAAGTATCTACCTGTTTTATTCACCATACCTGTACAAGTAAACTGGTATGGTGCCCAAAGTCCATAGTGGTCACCAGTAAACAACATGATTAGTCGTGCAGATGACACCACCTCCCTCACCAAAATGGTGGCTCCCAACCTACTCCAATTGCTGTTTATACCCTCTATACACATGTTATATATAGGAATCTACATTTGTGTTCACCATAGCGAACCACTAAGCTGGTATGGTGAGTGCAGTCAATAAAAGGTGGCCACACACAGTCAGAAGACAACGCCACCACCCTCCCTCCCACAGCATTACTTCTCTCTCCATGGAGCACAGCGCTGAATATCACCACAATCCTGCTATTATCAGAACCCTGGTCAATTTCATCACAGTCAGGGGTCTTCTGTAATAATATCATCGCTGCATAATAGCATGAACAAGTATATTATGGCATTTTTAGGCGATGCTGTGGTCACAAGCAGAACAGCAGTGCTGTGAGCTCATGCTGCGTGCATCAGGCTTGGTAGCTCACTCAATACTGAGGCCCCTAATACCCTGGAATTTGGCCCATGATTTAAAAAAAAAATGGCATCTGTTTACAAGAGCCCTGATAAAGGTGTGGTGAACCCCATGTATCCGCAGGCCGTTTAAATCTTGCGTAGTACTCCAAAGCATCATATGATGCGGAGCGCAATTTACTGCAAGTCACTCAACACATCATATGTCTAGTGCAACTAAAGGGTTAATGCTTGCCTGTTTCCCCCCCCGCCCACTCTTCAATGGAATGTTTGAGCTCTCCAGCTTCATGTGCAAATTCTTCGCTGTCAGTTGTGGTGGATGTCCTACATGCCCGTCAGCACTTGGGCTTTTCTGTGTGTTTTCCTTGTCTACTTGAGCTGCAGTCCACTTGGCTTACAGATGATGTTGGGGCACTTGGGAGTAGATTTCTTGCACTCTTCTCTGTGCAGCTCGCATGTTGGCAGGCTGTGCTGGTTCTTTCTCTAGATTCAGCCTGGGCCCCTCGCCCCTTCTATCTGCATCTCCTTTCTCTCCCCTTTTCTTTCAGGAGAGCTCAGTTTTTGCTGTTGTGGCTCAGTTTTTGTCCTCTGTTGCTACATCTTGTCTGCCAATTCAGGATCTTCTCTGTATTCAGCATGGTTGTTCACATTCTTTGTGGCAACCTGGGTAGTGGGGGGCATGTGTCCAAAGTCATTAGCTGTACACCTTCGGTGGAGCCAGTGTCTGGTAGGCACTGTGATTGCGATGCTCACAAAGTGGCATCTCAAGCTTCATGCCAGCCCTTTTGCAGTTTACCCTGTTGATGGGGCAGTGGAGGGGTTGGGTGGCTAGCCCAATTTGCCAACACATAGTATCATGATTTATTGGCTTTTCGGATCGTCTTTGTCAGTCTTCGGTGGAGTTGGTCAGTCCAACTGTCTTTCAGGGGCTTGAGTCTGTCCTGGCAGGTTTTCCTTTCCATGTCTCTATCAGGTTATCTCCAGTTGAGTGGCTTCGGGCGTGGTCGAAATGACCACGTCTCTTTAGTGGGCTTCCTGCTTTTTTCTGGACTCAAAATGGGATTCCTCTGGATCTCTGGTTCATTCTTCACCTGTTGTGGTTGAACCGGTTCATACCTTGCCCCTCTTTCCTAATGACCACTTTGTCCCAGGTCTGTCTTATTCTCGAGGCGGGCACTTGGATGATTTCCCTGGGCCTTCAGGACACTTACTGGTACGTCCTTATTCATCCGAGGTTCAGGGATTGGTTAGGGTTTGTAGTGGGATGTCAAGCTTACCACTTCTGGGTCCTCTTGATTGGACTGAATCTGGCTACATGCATTTTTACATGGTTGAGACAGGTAGTGACCCTTCTTCTTTTGTCTCTTAGGTGTTTGGGCTCTGTTCTTCTCCACCAATTAACTGGTGTGGATTTCCAGCTAGTCTGCATGTCTGCTTGCCAGGTATCTGGTTCTTTCCCAACTCACCGGGTTCAGGTTTCTGGTGAGTTGGTGGAAGTCCCAGTTGGTTCCAGCCCAGGTTCAGACTTGGTTGAGCCCTGTTTGGAACTCTCAGTTGGCTTCACTTTCTTTGTCACCAGCAACCTTTTCCTGGCTGTAGTGCTGCTATTTGATGTTGAGTCAGCCCTTGGTGACTCAGCTTGGTGACCTTTCAAGCAACTGTGCAGGAGGCTAAACCTTGCCTTCCTTAAGTATTTGAGTAGGGTTTGGCTTCAGAGGTTGTTCAGGTTTCTTTGAGGCAGCCCCTTTTGCTGCTGCAGTGACAAATAGGTGCAGGCTCCATTGGCCCTGCATTGGCTGCTGCATTGCCAGCTTCCTCTTTGGACTGTTTGGGGTTTGATTCCCTGGTGTCTCCATAGAGTGGGCCGCCAATGTTTGGGCACTGAGACATGGACCTCTTCGTGTTGGCTTTATCTAGGCATCTTCCCCTTTATGTGTCATTGTTCCCCGACTGTGAGGCCCTCATAGTGATTGAATTTTGGCAGGACTGATCAAGGTGGAGTTTCCTGTACCTTTTCCACCCCGTCCAGCTGTTGCTCTGGGTCTTGATGCAGTTGAAAGTCCTACATGGGAGAGTGAGCCTTGTAGCTCTCTGGTGGCTAGCCTAGCCTTGGTTCTCAGTGCTGCTTGCTTGGTGTTGAAATCTGATCATTTTCCTGCAGCTCCACCTCTTCCAGAAGATTGGTTTGGCAATGTGCTTTGCAGGTTTGAGCTTCTCCTCTGCCCCTCACATCTGAATTTTGTGTACAGGTATATCGCCATGTTTATGGCTATCAGTGGCTACGTTCATGGTGTCTCACTGCAGGTTTCCTCGAGATGGCAATATGAAGTTTCTTGGCAGTCATTTTGTCCCTTCTTGTCTTTTAATTAGGTATTGTTCTTCTGTTTCTGACTGGGTTCTTTCCTTTTCATCCTGGTAATTGCTTGATCAGTATCATATGCCAAATACTGTTGCTTCATATCATATGGCACTGGCAGACCCGCTGCACTTGCATTTAGGGGTCAATACTTCCTTGGCTCTGTATCACAGGCTGTCCCCTGTGTTGTTTCACTTCAAGCCTGCTCATGTACCACAGGGCCTGCTTAGACTCTGGACTGGGTGCTCCGTTTTCTCTCTTCGGCTTGGTTTACAGTTTCCCCTTCAATCTGGGATTGTTTTCTCAACTCTCTCTTGGTTTCCCTGGTTTCCAGTTGCCATGTTGGGAAGCTTCATGTTCGCCTTCAGCACCAGGGTTTTTGTTCTTTCAGCCCAGGGAATGAAACCATAACATTCAATGGTTTCTTCATCTCCAGCTGACTCCTTTTCTGTCGAAGAATGAGTCATTTGGCTTCAAGAGGTGTCCATTGGTTGTTGATGCTTGTTTGGTTCAGCCTGGGGGGGCATCATGTTTTTTGTCTGGAAGCAGCTCTCCATCGCTATCTTGATGCCATCGCTTCTGCTTCTGTGGCTGCCTTGTGGGTTGATCCTGATTCCTTGGAACAGGGATGCTTTTCCAGCAGCACGTCTCTTCAGAAGGCCACTGACCTTCAGCAATACTCGGGATATGGCCAGTGTAGTGTTCTTGCCTCTACTATAGACTCCTGCACCAGGTCATCCACAGTGTCATCAAGTTTAGCCAGCCTGCAGTCTACCCTCGTGCTCCTGATGACTGGCAGTATGCTGCTCTTTCGGCTGTTTTTGCTGATCCTGGGCTTATTTTTGGGCACAGGGGTTCTGGAGGTCGAACAGGGTTCTGGCAGCCCAGTACCTGATCAATGTTCCCATGACTCAGAGCCCTTGGGTGGCCTTGGGCCAATTCTCGTGACCGACTTTCTCTCCTTTGTTCTGATTCCTGCAGTGATTCCTCCTCCCTTGTTTCCTTCTCTTTGGGTAGTTAGCTTTAGGGAGCCACAAAGGGTACTCCCCAAGAAAATCGGTGTTGAATGTAATGAAACGCCAATTTCTGGATGAACCCAAGTGGCTCCTTAACTCACATCCTCAGGGAGTCTGGTCTTTTTGCATTAGTCATTGAACTGATGGTGGAGCAGCATGCAAACCATGGGCTGCCCCACTCTCCCACCCCTCACAAAGTGAGGGGAAGGGTGGAGTGAAGGAGCGGGTGCTAGTGTTATGACATTTTCAATGGTTCCTAATATAAAAATGCCATAACTTCCTGCACTTCTGTGAGGGGGAAGGGGGGTACACCAGGCTCTGGCTCTTGAACCCAGTAGGTGGCAGAACTCTGCGACTGATAGCACCTACATCAGAGATGGTATCTTCCGGGAGCCACCAAGGCTTAACCAGAAATTGGTATTTCATTACATTCAAATCTGGTTTTTACTTTTAAATATATGCCAGTCAGAAATGAATATGCATGCACCAACATAATGTTTCTTCTGTTTGTTACCTCTGCTAGCACTGTGTGAGCCATCTCGTGACCTGGCATCACTCTGCGCACAGATCACCGGTGATGCGCTTCTCTTCTCTATGTTTCGTCGGGATGCTCCTCCAGCAGCATGTCCCTTCAAAGGGCCACTCACCTTCAGCTATACTCGAGGACATGGCCAGTGTAGTGTTCCTGCCTCTACTATAGACTCCTGCACTAGTGACAGTCGACTACTGTTTAAGTATCAAGCATGTCCTGATGTGCAAGGCACAGAGAGCTCAGGTAAGTTGCTTTACACATTGCCTTAAAATGAATACCATTGAATATAGGGAACTCAGGTAAGTGGCACTAACTAGAGATATATGTAAGTGATTTGGACTTACTCTCAATGCATGGTCAATGACTTTGTTCTCATTGCATGAAAATTAAAAAAAAAATATTCCACCATTTCGTATGATTTATTTGTAATAAAAGATTATTGTAGTGAAAATAACATTTAAAAATGTAATTTCTAAAATATATAGCAAATTTCATGATGAAATGCAGAGTATATAAACTACTGAGTAATTTTTGCTGGATATACATTTAAATATACTTGTGTGAATAAGCTAAATTTTTCAGAAGAGATTTCTGAATTTACCTGAATTTATCTGAGGACCAGATAACACCCTAATAACTTAGACACATACAGAAAACTGGGAGCTTGTCAAAGGTTCCCTTATTTCTCTTGATAATTTTTTCAAGCTGGATTTTAAAATTTTGCATTGTTTTGACATTTATGGCTTCAGTGGGTAGACAGTTCCATGGGTTTATAAACCTATGGGTGACAAAATTATCTCCTGTTTTTTGTTCTACATTGAGGCTTGTTGAGCTTGAAACTGTTGCTCATTGTTTGTGTTACATCTGAGGGGTCACGGTAGTGCAGCTGGGTTCATTCTTGATGCACAAGTGAGAATTCCAGTCTTCAATAGGTAGTATCACAGCACAAATATCCCAACAGGGAACTTATTTTTATCAAGAGCTACATGTATCAAGTTAATCATACTAATAAGTGCATTGTTAGTGCTTTTTTTGGGTCTGAAGCCATATTGACAAGAGCTAAGTATATTGTGTGTGGCTAGATAAGAGTAAAGCTGCTTGTAGATTACTTTTTCAAATATTTTTGACAAGTTTGGCAGAATTGATATAGGCCTGAAGTTGTTGACATCAGTGAGATTACCACCATTATGGACTGGGGTTACTCTCGCTTTTTTTAGAATATCTGGAAAAGTTTGGAGTTCAAGTGACTTGTTGTAGAGCAATGCAATAGCAGGGGCTAAAGATCTGGAGGCCTTTTTGTAGATTAGAGTTGGTATCTCCGCAAGGGCACTAGACTTGGTCTTAAGGGAAAGGATTACCTCATTTACATCAGTGGAATTAGCGGGTGTTAGGTACAGAGACTGTGGGTAGTTACCTGTAAGATAGTCCTGAACATTAGTACTGGAAGATGGAATATCATTAGCAAGGGATGACCCAATGGATGAGAAGAACCTATTGAATTCAATATCAGTATCAGTGGCTGAAAGCAGACCATCGTTATTGGACAGGATTATTGGTTTGTTATTTAAAATCTTTTTTGATCCCAATATTTGTGAAATTGTGCTCCATGTTTTCTTGATGTTGCCCTTTGTTTGAGTAAATTTATCTTCGTAGTATTTAATTTTGGCTCTTCTAATTATTTTAGATAGTAATGATGAGTAATACTTTGAAAGTTCTTTGGAGACGATACCTAACCTATACTTCTTCTCAAGTTCGTGTTTTTTATTATTAGATTTAAGTATCCCCTTTGTAAGCCAAGGATTGTTTAGCCTTTTAGTTGTGACTTGTTTCGTTAGCATAGGACAGTGGGTGTTATAAAGGCTGAGAGTTTTTTGAAGAAATGATTACACTGCTAGGTTGATGTCCCCTATGGTACCTAATTCGGACTCCCAGTTAATATTAGCGGCAGCAGCTATAAAATTGCCTATAGAAGTTTCATTGTTCACCCTAAATCTCATCTTCCTTGTATCTAGAGATGGTTTGTGAATGTTGGTTAGGAGAAATGTGGGGTAATGGTCTGTAGAGCTATCAGTGATTATCCCTGAAGTAAGCGGAGAGGTTATGTTGGTCCAGATGTGATCAAGAGCTGTGGCAGTACTATCAGTGATTCTAGTAGGTCTAGTGATTAACCCTTAAACCGCGCAAATCATATACAATGGGGCCTCGTCTTACGATGCTAATCCGTTCCCAGAGACGGATCGTAAGTCGAAGCGATTTTTCCCATAAGAAATAAAGGACATTGAATTAATCCGTTCCCCACCCTTCAAAATATTAACATACAAATACATTTTATACTGAATACAATGTTTTTTTCTAACTACAATACAGTACCAAAGCGTCTCTTACCTTTATGGAGGGCTCTTGATGGCGTATGGAAGATGGTGATGAGGGGGGAGGAAGAGAGTTGTTCCTGTTTGGAAGGGGAGTCCCCTTCCATTATCACATCTGGCAGTGATGTTTTCTCTGGGGTACTCTCTCTCCTACGTTTTGCCTGAATACCAGTAGGACCTGGTTGTGGTTCTATGCTTGTTTGTCTCACTACAAATTTGTCAAGAGGCATTTGTTTTTCCCTTCATTTTAACATTTGTCTGTAATGATGCATCAGTGTCATTGAATAGGTTAAGGCAACGACCTACTGCAGCTTGATTTGGGTGAGTCGTTTCATCAAAGGTTTGCAATTCTTCTCATGCTGCACACATTTTCTTAACCCTTAAACTACACATGGCGTATATATATGCCCTGATAAACATGTCCCATGGTGCGCATGGCGTATATATACGCCATAGGGTGCCAGGCCTCATTCAAATGGCCCGCGGCTACACAGGGTTCACAGTAGCTTCCTCAGGGCTCTTGTAAACAGATGCCATTTAAAAAAAAAATCGTGGGCAATATTCTCAGGTGTGAGAGGCACAGTATTGTTGGAGCAACCAAGGCCGGTTCACGCAGCATGAGCGAACAGCTTTGCTGTTCAGCTTGTGACCACAGCATCGCCGAAAAATGTCAAAATAAATATATAATTGTTATTATTTAGCGATGACAATATTACAGACGACCCATGACAGTGATATAAATAACCAGGGTTGTGATAATAGCAGGATTGTTGTAATAATTAGCGCTGTGGGAGGAGTGATGCTGAGAGATGGAGGGAGACAGCATCGTTTACTGACTGTGTGGCTAGCTGTTATTGTTTGCATTCACCATACCAGGTCAGTGGTTCTCTATGGTGAACACAAATGTAGATACTTATATATAATGTGTGTATTAGTGTAATAACAGCAAAAGGATTATGCTGGGAGGAGCCATATAGGTGACGGAGGTGACGTCGTCTGCACGATTTGTCTAGCTGTTTAGAGGGTGGCCACTATGCTCTTTGGGCGCACTACAAGCTTAGGTGTACAGTTACGGTGCATAAAACATGTAGATATTTATATATAATATGTGTATATAGGGTAATAACACTGCAAAAGGTATTGTTGGGGGAGAAAGTTTAGTGCGTGTGACCTTGAAAGAGTGAGAGAGCCGCCATCTGTGTATAGCGACGACTCTTAGTGCCTGAACTAACTATATCAGCTTAGCTGTACAGTTGTGGTGAACGAAATATATACATACTTATATATAACGTCTATATAGTGTAATAACACCACAAACTGTATTGTTGGGGGAGAAAGTTTAGTGCGTGTGACCTTGAAAGAGTGAGGGAGCCGCCAGCCGCCATCTGTGTATAGCGACGACTCTTAGTGCCTGAACTAACTATATCAGCTTAGCTGTACAGTTGTGGTGAACAAAATATATACATACTTATATATAACGTCTATACAGTGTAATAACACCACAAACTGTATTGTTGGGGGAGAAAGTTTAGTGCGTGTGACCTTGAAAGAGTGAGGGAGCCGCCAGCCGCCATCTGTGTATAGCGACGACTCTTAGTGCCTGAACTAACTATATCAGCTTAGCTATACAGTTGTGGTGAACAAAATATATACATACTTATATATAACGTCTGTATATAGTGTAATAACACCACAAATGGTATTGTTGGGGGAGAAAGTTTAGTGCGTGTGTTGAGGGAGTGGCAGCGAGTGGCTGGCTGGTGTGTGGCGGTAACTCTTCGTTGCTTTTCGACTCTCAATACCAACTTAGTGGTTCGTTATGGTGACCAAAACATGCAGATACTTATATATAACCTGTGTATAGAGTGTAATAGCAGCAAAACTATTTGTTTATTGTTTTATAAACATAATAATTGAATCACTAATATGCACATCATACTTTTGAGTATAGTGATTATTCACCACTTTTATTATATAAATATATTACAATACACACTATTGAATAATATTACTGCAAAAAAACTAAGAAAAAATCAATCGGAAACATTGAAACAATTAGGTAATAATATCTTTGTGGCAACTCCCATCTGTCAGCGCGGGTGACGCTGACCGGGTCTGACGACCACTCTGTCAACGCCCATTTTTTGCCAGACTTCCTCGGTCAATTGCGCCCAAAATATGTCACCTACGATTTTTTTTTTTTTCCGTGCTCAGGGGACACAAATTAACATGTTTAGAAGACGAAAAAAAATTTTTGAATTTTTTTTTTTCTTGCGCACAGGGGTGTAAATGTCCCAAGGACCCCTGAGCAGTGTAAGTGTTAATTGTTGAGGAAGAGACATTCTGTACTCTTGTTTCTGCTCTATGGTCATCCTTACATGGGTTTTCATATGCTGAGCCTTACCACTGACTTTCCTGGGACTCATGGCATGATATATAATAATTACTTTAATGTTCAAAATGCAAAAAATCACCACAAAAGCGGAATTTCTTATAGGCGCGATCGTCACTAAGTGGACAACTGTAGTAAACTGAGGCAGGTCGGCTGCGTGACTGGGAACCACGTGCTCGGTCGACCTGAACGTGTACCAACAAATATCGGAAGTCGACGACACCATCGGATGTCGAGTCGCATTTTTCGATGAAATTTACATCATAACTCAAAATTATCGTAAGTAGGGGCAATCGTATGTCGAGGAGCAACTGTTTATATGTTTTCAGTGACAAAACTGAAACCGCGCACATCATATATATATGATTTCGTGTCTAGTGCTATAATTTAAATGCCCCGCCTGAGATAGAGGCAGCTATATTGCTGCCATGACCGATAGTTACCAGATACCACCTCAAAAAAAAATCCAGGCCAACATTTTT